ATGACTTAACTTCATTTGGAAGTTTGTCTTGATAGCAGGTATAGAATTCATGCTGCTGAATTTATGCTAATAGTGGTTAACAAACAACTTTTTTTCAAGGTTATCACAACTTATATTTTTATACAGTTAAACACTGTTCCAATTAAATTTGTATATATAGTACAATTCCAGTTAAGGTTATATAGATCTTGAAAAAATGTAGTATACAATGAAGATTTTACACTCCAGGTGGTGCTATTCAACCACTTTCTCAGACATATTTTAAAAGTTTAAAGTACATACAGGCACCAAGCATCTGTTTTGGATTTCTGTTGTCAGAATACTTTTCTTGCTTGCTTTTTGAATTTTTAAATAAATCTTATTTTGATTTTTTATTACTGTGTTTTAGGATTGGTGGCATTATTGTGGATGATTTATTTACAGTTTTCTCTAAGAAGAAAAGTAGCATTATTTTCTGAACATGCTGCCCAGATGCTGGTAATTAGTATGATGTTTAAAGGGAGGGAAGGGGAAAAAAAGGGTATACAGTAATGAGATTAACATTATGAATTTTATCTGGAATATTTGCTACAATTTTTGCAGACTTTGCAAAAAAATATCTTGGGCTGAAAAGGTTTGCATTTCTACAGTACCTTTAGTTCTCTAAAACAATAATACTTATCCTGAATATTAATAAAACCTTAAAATTATACATATTTAATGTCTGATTAATGCAATCTCAGATCAATATAATGAGATTAAAATACATATGCATGTCTTAGCATTTGTGACTGTTTTTAAAGTAATTACAAGCAATTAGTATTTTTCTGATGATTCACCAGAAATATTTTATTTTTTTCCATAGCCTTAATTCCCAGGAGCATATTGTAACATTTCACAAAGATTATTGGCAGTTATTCAACACCTAGCCTTTTTATACATAACATTCATGCAGCTAAATTAAGAAAGAACCCAATACAGCAGTGAAATAAACAGAAGATATCCACATGTAAGATAACACAACGATGTAATGGTCATAATTGTTTGATTTTTCATTATGTGTACATGTTAAGCAATTGTTAATATAGCTCAGGACAAAATATCAGTGTTCATAATAAAAATACAGCAATAGAATTGATAAAGCTTTTCACTTGGAAGCTGGATGAAGTAGAAAATCTGGCAGATGCTAAGTAAGTTTATCTTTTAATAGTTTTTGGTCCTCAGGAATAGTGCTATTTACCTTTGGTTTAAATAGAAAATTGGAAGCAGGTAAGTGTGCATTCTGAACTTACAAACACACCTTTTCTTCTTACATGGTGAAAGGAAAAAAAAGAAGCATTATTCCAGAAATTTTCTTGGCCTCTTTGTAAATCCCAAATAGTTTTCCAAAGCTTGCTTCAGAATAATTAGGTTTGGCAACAACCTTTATAAAGGACGAAAATGCACAGTAACCTTTTGCTGTGTCTCCCCACTTGCATAAATATAATGGAAAGTAAGCTTAAACTAAAAGCATTTGCTAAACCTGCCAAGAGTAGAAATTGAGCAATCTGATACCTTAGTTTTCAAACATGATTTATGCATTGTGGCAGTTCCAATGCTCCATATGAACTGACTGAACATCCTAGAATTTGTTTCAGAGTTTTTTTCCAGTATGCAAGACTTACATTACAAACATGGTAATGCATTGCCCCACCCTTTGCTGGATTTAGTGCTAGATTTAGTGCTGGTGGTTTATCTGAAAGTGATGAATTGCTCATTTCCCGAAGATATTGTACCCATTCAGGTTAGCTGTCTTATAGCTTCTTCATGTTTTGTCATCACACTTATAGCACATACTTACTTGTAATTTCCATTTGGTATTTTTCTCCAAATACTGGTAGTCCTCATTAACTGAACTGCCTTGTTATCAGTTACAATGTGACAAAAAGTAATTTTACTACCAATCCTTGCATTTACTACCTCGACAGGTCTGTAAAGCAAAGGAAAGCTGAAATTACATTGTAAACACAGTTGCAGCTTCACTTAGCAGCTGCTTCACTTAACTCTGAGTTACCAATCTAAGTGTGGTTGCTAAATGAGGACTTCCTGTAAGCATAATGGTGTAGATAAGTTTAAGATCAAGTATTTCAGCCAAACAAAGCTGTTAAGCAAACTGCAAATAAATAATTCCTATTTCTTGACTAACCGTTAAAAAGGTCAAATTGGTCTATACAGCACAGTTTTTCAAGGTATTTTACCCCCTTTCCATTCTTGTAAGCAAAGGCACCCACTGAGTCAAGAGATTTCACCGGTGATTAAATGTATATCACAATGTACATTAAGCTCATCCTTTACATAAGTACATACAAAACATTAGATATATACAAAAGGAGTAGTGGGGACATCACAACCCTTTCCATTATTTGCTCCCTTTGTGTACATCCATGTTCTAACAGACATACAGTGTTTCATAACAGTATCCACACTACTCCGTTCCACAAACTAGCATATAATATGAAACTGGGTTAACTAAACCATGAGGTTAACCGTGGGTAAGTATGGTGCGCAAATACCACTCCAGCCTGTGACTTTATATGGAGTAAACCTGGTGAATTCCCTCCTGCAGTGTCTACAATCAACAGCTGACTGACCAAAGCTTGCTGGTTAGAATTCCTGAGGTATATGTTTATCCCATTTAAATATACAGGAGAAATACTTATAGTATTTAGGAACATACATAGAACAATATGCTTATCTTCCCTTAGCATGATGAGAAACGGAAATTTTTTTTTTATGTCAATGTGTTCTTATTGTGACGTATTTTTTTCTTCCATATTCCCTTCCAGCCAGTCTTGTCCCCAACTGTCTCTAGCATCATTAGACAGAGTAATGGATCCAAAATAGCACAGTGAGGAAGCAGTATATTATTTATTGGGTAACTTTAGATTCTGGACTTAATGGTCTTCCTGCTCTTTGGAGGTAAATTGTATTAAGCTTGGAATATGTTCTAGTTTAGACAGGGCTATCCCAATTTGGGGCTATAGTCTGAGCAGGCTGCCAGCATTAAAAAAAAAGTCCTTATCTAAGGCTTGGAAATATTATAATAATGTAGTACAATCCTGTTGATTTGGTGAATGGAGCCCTAGGCTTTAATCTCAAAGGAGAAAGAGCAAAAAGTGATTCCTTCTTCTGAAATAAGCCATTATGGAATGGCTTCCATTCTCTGGCTGGATTTCTGACCCAAGGGAGAAAGAAGAAACAAATTCATAAAAAGAAAGTAAAAAGAACAGAACGAGCAACAACAATGGGTGGGGTTGGGGAAGGAACAGGACAGCCATGAACGGGACAACCCATAAGAACAAGAGATGCAGCACGAACCTGGATAAAATTCTGTGAAAATTAAGTATATTTTGCTATCAGTCTTTTTTCTTCCACCTTCCTCTCCTTTCCTTGTGTCTTACACACTGCTAACCTGAGGGTGGGACCTGTAAAATTACTGATTTTAAAGAGCCACTGTAGGAATTTTACTTGACTGAAGAACTAAGGAGAAAATATTTAATTAATTACCATTTAGAGACTTTTCGTTTTCTAACACATAGGAGCTACTTACAGTATTAGAAAAAGAAAACCCTTAACATTGTTGTTACAGCATTTTTCAAAAACCCACCTGATATCAAGGCCCAAAGTAAGGAAAAAAATGGTTACTAAACCAAATCCAAGTTATAAAAGGAACCCAGCCACACTCTCACCGCTGCTGTGTCATGCGATTGCTTGGAAATACATAACCTTTCATCCTGGTGGATCCCATTGTCCTAACAGAACACTGTCCTAATGCTTTTAGCTTAGGACCATGTGGGAGTGGGTCTATGAGCAAGCCCCCTTTTGCACGGGTACGGGCTGCCATTCCAGCCCAGAGCTCTCTTTTAGCTGATCCTAACGAGCATTCCCAACCAGCAAGGCGAGAAGCGCGCCAGGCTGATCTATCTATAAAGGGCTGGGGCGGCTTTGTGCAAAATAGAAAGCTGGAGGACTGACAGGATGTGATCCTCTGGAACAAATGTCTTTTACACACACACACACAGAGAGAGAGAGACGCCCCAGCCTCTAGTTACATCTCTGGCAGCGCCCAACAACTCTCAGCTTCGCTTACCGGGGTTATTACTGGCCGAGGCTGCCGCCTGCAAAGAGGCTTTGGCAGCCCCCTCGTGTCCTTCTTCGAAAAGGGCAGCTGGCTCGTCCCGGAGGACATTGCAGAGAGGGAGAGCGCGGGCAGGGCGGCTGCGAGCGCTCCGGGCGGGAAGAAGCCTCGGCTCTTCGTTTTCCTGAAGCGAATTTGCTTTCGGCATCATGCACAGCTACAGGACGGCGCAGCAGAACCAGGATTAAGGCGGGAAAAGAGGCGCGGTGGGGTGGCTGGGCAGGGCGGGGCGGCGCTGGGAACTCATCCTTCTCCCGAAGGGAGAGCCCCGGGCAGAAGCATCGCCGCGCCGACCGAAGGAAGGAAGCTCCTAGCCGGGATCCCGTGCGGGCTAGAAGCCGAGCGCCATGGAGGGGAGTCCGATCCCGGTACTCACGGTGCAGACGGTCCCGTACGAGGACCAGAAGCCGACGGGCGGCGGAGGGCTGAGGAGACCCACCGCGATCTTCGAGGGGCAGCGCAATTACTTGCCCAACTTCATCCAGAGCCTGCTCTCCTCCATCGACCTGCGCGACCGTCAGGGCTGCACCATGGTGGTGGGCAGCGACGGCAGGTACTTCAGCACGACGGCCATCGAGGTGGTGGTGCAGATGGCGGCAGCTAACGGGGTAAGGGCGGCGGCTCCTCGTCCCCTAGGCTCCTCCGGAGCTTCGTTTGAAGGCGGACTTTCTCCAGCGGGATATTAGGGGGATTCCCCCCCCCCATACTTCTAACTCGGGATGAGGATGAGGATGGAATTAGGGCAATCTGCCCTTCTAATCTATTTTGGGGAATTCTGAATTCAAAAAGAGTTTGGATCCAGTTGATCCAATTTATAAGGTCAATTGGATCCGGTTTCCTTTTGAGTCTTCAAGTTGCCATTATCCTAATGGATAATGGATTGGATCCATAGGGTAATGGATCTGCAGCCCATGATTTATTCTATCACATCCTATTACACTTGTGCATGATATATTTTCTGTCACATCCCATCTACCCTATTATCTATGGCTTCTATCCAGTTTATTTATATGTATAATGCCCCATCCTTTCCTCTGTAGAACGGCTTGCTAGCCTGCCCTTCATTGCCCCATCTGTGTAAGTTCATGATAGTTGCAATGATAAAATTGTGCTACAGGGCTTGGTCTACTGACTGGTTTGTTGTGAGTGTTAGAGAACAGCTATTGATAAGTTTACAGTTTACTGGGCTCTATTTTGGAAACTCACTGTGTTTGACATATTGAGTTGAGTTTGACATATTTACTCCAATACTTTATGGGAAAAAAATGCAGTGATTTTTCACTGGGTTGTCTTGCCATCCACCATATCTATCAGATTGTTCCAAAGTCTTTGTCTTATTTTCCCCCTCTAGTTCAGTGTCCCATTGCTTTTGTTATTTACTCCATCTGCCTGATCATATAGTTTGCATATTGCATGCTTTCCGCTGTACTGCCTTTTCATGATCTAATGAACTACAGTACAAGACCATCAAAAATGTAGCTTAGCATATTGTGCAAACTCAGTCTGTATGGTTAGTTCAGTGTGTTGTATGAAACCAGGAAGTTGTGTTAATTAAGCAAAGTATGTGGTGAAATACATATAAGCGTACTGTGTGAATTCAGCCAGGAATCACACTTGTAATTGATTTATATACCTTTAATTTCATAGAATAAGATGGATTTGAAATCTGTGAGGTGAAAGGTTACAGTTTCTCAAGCATGGTTACCTACATTCCTTTAGTTTAAAAGTAGTTCCATCATACCAGTAAATCTATTTAGGAAGAAATATGTGCACTTAGACATAATTAAGGCCGATTTACAAGTTTAAAACCCATAATAATTTCAATATACAAAGGATATGTTTAATATCCAAGCTATACGTCTCACATTATTGCATTTTTGAAGGCCATGTAGTATATTTCTGAGTCAGTGACATCTGCCTGACCTTTTTCTTGGCTTACAGAGAATAAGGAATCTCCCTCTGAAGAGACAATAGTAGATTTGCTGTGGGAAAGTATTGTAGGCAAATCTGCCTTGGAAGGAAATTAGAACATTGAGCCAAATCCTCTGCAAACGTCTTTCATGCTTTTACTGAAGAATTTTAACATGGTCCTGATTATGCTCTTAACAAAGAGACAGATAATCTAAAAAGGAGTGCCCACCATTTGTATTTTCTACTGATAATAAGAAACTGGATTTGACGGTGCACCTCTTGGCACCTCAGTAGATTGCTCACTTCCAAAATTACAAAAAAAAAGTTTATGTTTACAGAATAGCCTATATAAACCAGATATAAACTTGAATGGAGTAATCTGAAGCTAGTGGATTGTAAAGAGCAAAGCACAAATTGGAGATAAAGGAGATTAAAAGCTAAAACAAGCAAGACCAAACAGGCTGCTAATTAGTGATTTCCAAGGCTAAACTGATCTTACCTGTAGGATTTTATCAGAGGAGTTGGAAATGCAAATCCTGATGTTTCTTTCTCTTTTGCTCCTGATTAAGACACAAACATGCCCCACCCCATAATGTTTTTTTCTATCATGTCTTTATGTTAATTTTTCACTGCTAGCCTCTTTCCCAGCTCCCAGTTATGCTTCTTTCTGGCTGGTTGCTGGGTTTGGTCCTCCATGTCCAATTTGGCCTGGGCTTCAGAGTCATCCCCTTGATAATGCCTGATTGGTGCTTTTCATAGGACTTGTCAGGTCTTGCATGGGTTCCTCGTACAGTAAATAGAGAACAAATACTTGTTGCACAGAAGAGTTAGAACCCATTGGTCTAAGCTACTGTCTATACTCACTTCGCCCACTTAGGGAGAGTGGTTGATGGCCCACAAGTAATACTTGGAGGAATGAGAATCCATCAGTACCTTGCCTTAACCTGGTACACAATAAATAAGGATAGGGCAATCCAGTGATATTGTTTTATAGTAGAATGGGGATCTGAATGGGGCCAGTCAACATTGTGCTGACATATTGTTTTGCTGACTGAAAAACTGCTGGAGAGCATATTAATTCAGCAGTGAGGAAGAGCCCCGATTGGAATAGTTCCTGAAAAATATTTTAACTAGCCTAGGATATAATTGATCACCCACACAGCGTATAGTTGTTCCAGTAGATTCTTTCTTTATCCCCTCCAATTACTTGGATATTTTGTCCATACTGTACAGTATCAGCACTTTATTTCCCCCTTTGCTGTGCATTTTGGAGCCTCCAGGTTAAATATTCCAAATTGTTGACATTAAAAAACATCTAACCTTTTTCTCTGTTGTATCACATCACACTTAACCTTCCCTGCAAGATATGTTACGTGGACAGATCAGAAGACTGTATTGTAATAATAATAATAATTTCATTGTGATTATTTTCTCATAACTGCAGGTTATAGTGCTGCTATTTTGACATCATATTGACTTGGCTTCACAACCATTTCCTTATCAAATGCCATCATAATTTAGAATTAGATAAATGTTCATTATATTCTTGAAAAATATGTCTTGTCATGAATGCTGAGACTTTCTTCTTTGAATCTAATCTTGTTAAATTTGTTGAGGAAAAAATATAAGTGAGGGAAACAATCTGTTCTTAGTTGTGGAATGTGGGAAAGAGCTGAAAAACATGCTTTGTATGCGAAAAAAATTCCATGTTTGATTCAGAATCTTAAAAACATGCCTCTTATTTGACTATTTGCCAGTAATGACAGTTATGAGCCAGACGTATTAAAAATACAGTATTATTTTCTATAAGACAGCTTACTTTCAGTTTCAGTGCACTACAGTATTTGATTATAATGGAAAGACATTAGACTTTTCCTGAACAAGTCATTCATATAGAATTTTATGTGACTGTGTGTTTTATATTTTTCAAATAATATATGTGACATTACAATTCTGATAATAGTGCTTTGACTGAATACTGTCAACAGAAATATTTTTAAATTCCACTGAAATGTATTAAAAGTCAAGGCATTTTAAGAGTTAGCCTTTTTTTTAAATAAACTATGTCACTTTAATTTTAAGGCAAGACACAAAGAATTTAAAAAAATGGTTTATTTGAATGTATAGGGTTTGTGAGCTCACATTCTAGGCATTCTGGTCAACTATGCCTTAAACAATTTCGCCTATGTGTCCCAGTCTCTTCAGCTCATTTTTATTTTTGTTAAAAGAAAAAAATATAGCCCTTTGAGAAATATGCTTCTACAATTTGTGAAAAGGAGTTGCATGTTTAAGAGCTCCTTTGCACATTAAAAAATCCTCACAACTAGACTGTAAATGTCTGTTCACCAGTGTGTTTAAAATCTATACTTTTTTGTTATTGTTTTAAGAATGTTTTCAAAAGTTGAAATAAGTAGAACAATATTTAAGAACAGGTTGTGTTTCATGATATTCTACAGAATTGTCCAACCAAAATGCACACTCTTGTCAGATCTTTCAACAGATGGCTAGTCTTTCAGATCCTGTCTGTGTTCAAAGCCCATAAACCAGCAAGACACTTTTTTTAAAATTGAGGATGCCGTCCTGATCATACAGTACATAACGTAAGGGATAGTTATTTTAATTGCCAAAGGGATCCATGTGAAGAAAGTTGAATATGTTCATGGCTTAAATGCTTCTAATACTTAGAAGTACAAAACATTTGAGTAGTCACATTCTCAAGGGATAAACTCTTGGGGTTTTTTAATAGAATAAAACAACTGATTATATAGCAGTTGTAAAGTTAGTAGTACAGTATGATAGAACAGTTAATTAACATCTACTGCATGTTAAGCCTTCCAGGTTTGGCCAATTTTTTCCTGTTTCTATTAAGATAAGGATAGGAAATTGTATTTTGTATAGAATGCTATATTCTTGGAAGCTCTAGTGGGGATAGGAATGATCAACAATCTCATTGTGAAGTTGTCTTCCTTCAGTTTTAGATTATGTTTTCACTTTGCATCTTCAGCCAGTGCCTCCACTCTGATCTCCGTTCACCAGATAGAGAGGCATTCAACCCAGTTTGAAAATTTCCCGTTCTATATATTAATACATATCTGAAATACAATAGAACTTTCCTGATTCTGGCCAAAAGTCTGAATGTTCCATCCATTCCCATTCCTTAAGTGCAGGACCTACTTGATTTTCCCCATTGTCTCCTTACCTTCAAACATTCTTCCCACATATGTATTCATGGCTGTGCTCTCCACTGCATTTCTGGCTTCCTTCTACCGTTGAACTCACCTCTGGTGCATTTCCCACATCCTTTGCTTCTTCTATCTGCCAGCCTCTCTACTCCTCGTTGCCTTTCCATCCTTGTGCTTAGGTCTACTGTCTTTTGTTAGCAAAAGGTTTGTGATGTTGCAAAAAAGAGTTTTATTTCTGTTTATTAAATTTATATGCCGCCCATCTCACAATTCGAGGCGACTCAAGTCTTGGGGTCATAGTGTCCTATTAGCTGCAATTTTGGTAGTGTAGTTATGGTATTCCAAACTCACCACTAACAAAACAAAAAAAATATGAAAATATTAGCTTACCGTAAGTTAAAATAAAAGCATTAACTGTAGCTGCATGCCCTTTGGATGGTGACTCTATTCTCTTTTGGACTAGGACATTTGATTTGCTGCACAAAGCTTGAAACAGCAGTCAAATTCTGCTGATA